CTGCCATAAGCTACCATGTGTAGCCGGCAGCCAGCGTGAGTGGCCAGCAGCCGCCGTCCAGAGCCGGCGACTGATCTGCCTCCTCTGGGAAGAACGCAATGATGGTGCCAACTTGGGCCAGTGAAGCAACGTCCTCCACAACTAGACTGAAGAACAAGATGACAGCAACTTGTCTGTTCCCCTTCCCCTGATTCCCCAGCGCTGTTCCCCTCCCCCAATTCCCCAATAAAATCTTTAAAAAAAAAGAATACCTGACTGCCTTTTAGGCAACAAAGTTACAAAAATAAAACAAATACAATACCTCCCCCCCACTGTCTAGCTTAGTAGAAAAGGCAAAGAGATAAGCAATTAAGGTATATGTGATAAGTGCTATGATGAGGAAAGGAGAGAGCATTTAGCACATGGCTAGGGTACCTAGCTCTGTCTATGGGAAGTTAGGGAATACCCCTCAAAGAAAGTGACAGCTAAAATGATCTTTAGCAGGCACGAGAAGGATCAAGAGAGAGGTCAGGGAAATAAATACCACAGAAAGAGAAAAGAACCTTTGCAAAGGCTGCGGGGAGACAAAAGTATTTTGAGGAAGTCAAATCAGTTCATTATAGCTACTGCCATCACCCAACCTTAAATGCAGGTGTCAGAGAGAGGCTGACCTGAAAGGGCTGGAGGCAAAAGCCAAGTGTTAGTCAAGGTCAGGTGATGAAAGAGAATTTCCATCAAGTGGTTGAAAATGTAAGAGTTTGTTAAGCAGGGACTAGAGTTTCTGAGAGCACAGCTGTGTTGAGGGGTGAGCAATGTGGAGGAAAAGGTGGGGGGGGGGGAGAAGCAGTAATAGCCTAAATCAAGGGAGGGGAAGCACAAAGCAGCATGGGAATGAGGGTAGTAGCATAGAAGACCAAAGGGGCTTACATCTTGGGCGGTAACCAAGGATAACAGGGATGTGGAGCATGGTAGTTTGGGCTGGCCACAAGTTTGCCAAGAGAATAGTCCCAGCGGTCCCCTGACGGACGCCGAGGCATTCAGGCCTCTCAAAATCCAGCTGCACCCTGGTTGGATTGCACGTCCGTCTCTCTAGAAGACATCGGCTTCAGTCTGGATTGATTGTGCAGGCTCCAGGATAGGCTCTGGGTTCCAGGCTGCTGGCACGCAGGCTCCCATGGAGTGGTTAGAGGACTGGTCTGTGTGTGCTGGTGGGTAGAAGTTAAGTATAAACTACCTTGCATTATTTTCTGATTTTTCTGTAGGAATGACGGGCCCGTATACAGCCTCTTAGAAAAAAAGGAGTGTGTGCCCATTACAGATTTACAGGAAGAAAAACGGTATCAAAAAGTTTAACAGTTGTCCATACCAATGCTCTAGATGAGTCATTCCTGAATCCAAGTCTCCCCAAGTCGACCTTCTCTCCCCAACTAGATTAAGATACACACCAGCAAAAGGCCTGCATTACACTTTTTTCTTTCTTTCTTTTTTTTTTTTTTGGTAGCTCTCAAAGTGCCTAATACCGAACTGGGTACGTCAAACACATTCCGTAAATTTACCGACTTCCTAACTGATACGGAGTCATTGAAGTTACCTAGTTTAGACTTCTTTTTGCACATTGAGGCGCTCAAGAGAAGTGAACCTTTATTTCAGACTTAACACTTTCCTTTATTCCAAACTACGGCATCTCTCCACCCTCAACCGCGGGGGCAAAACAGCTGCACGATTCAAATACAGCGGGAGACTCCCAAGTCGCCGCCTCGGAAAATGCCCTCCCGCCGCCACCCCCGCTAGTCCTCCCTCGCGCCTGTCCCCGTCCACCTGTCGCAAAGGTAAAACGCGCTCACCAACGCCGGACTACGCGGAGACTCCGTAAATGTGATGGTCTGCTCGTCGCCGCTCTCCACGAAAGCACTTCCGGCGCGCGAAAAGACGTCACCAGAAGCGCCCGCCTCTGGGCCCGCCTGCCGGGCCTGGGTCTAAGGAGAGCCCGGAAGAGACATTGCTGCCTATGCTTTCTCGTCTGCGGCGCCTGACCCCTCCCGGCACTCGTGATGCCAAAGCCGCTGCCAGGGCTGAGGAGTAGTCGTGGTTGAGCACCAAATGAGCCGAGGGTTTGCGCGCGCTCTTCTGATCTCCTGGGCCCGGCCCGCCTGAAGGTAAACGCCTCCTGAGCTGCGGCCTTTCCACCTGCGGGCTCTTCCCCAGAGCCGGCCACCAAAACGGTGTGTCCTTTCTCCTGCCACCCGTTTTATTCCAGAACCTTTACAGTTGGCTGCCCTCGCAGTTCTCACCAGAACGGCTAACGTATAGCATTTCAAATGGGAAAATTTCTCAAAAGCGACCTATCGATGTTGAGTCTCTGAAGTTGTCTAATTCCCAAAAAGAAGCATCTCAAGTATCAAGCAGTTTTCTCCCATTGCTTCGCGAATTGGCACGCCTGAGAATCAATATTTTGCCACTTGTGATTGTCCATACCCCCATCTTAAATACATACCACACACGCTTTTTAAATCGAAAATTGGAACTTGGTTGAGCCAGATATAATTTTCTGACTTTGTAAAATTCGGTATGAAAATTGATTACAGATTAGATTTGTAAGCTTAAAAATACGTACACAGGCCAGTATCCTTCAAGGCATTGAAGCCTATTCATATATAAAATGTATCATTTTATAGTTTTGCAATAATCTGCAAAATTAGTGATTTGAAAGAGCTTTATGTACATCAAAATGTGGGGCTAAAATTTCCTCTTAACCCCAGAGAAAAATATTAAGACAACTAAAAAAGATACCCAACCATACATAGTATTAGTGATTACCAATGGCTAAGTTTCTTCTAAGGTCCCAGGCTCTTTGTGATGTATCTAGGCATGGTATGCATATTTGAAAGCCCTTTCTCGCTCTTAGCCTTAGGGAAGGTTAAGAATAACCTCAGAGTTTTCCCTTCATCTGTTTAAAACTCATCTCTCGGTTCACATCATAGAAGAGCACTGAAAGGATTACTGTGAAGAATCCACTTGAAAGGACCAGAAAACTTTTTAGTGGTGTCTAGAGAAAAGGAATTCCTTAATTCACCCAGCTGGAATCATTGTTTTTAACTATTACTGAGAAGTAAGGAAGGTATATGAATAATCTGGCATAATTAAATCAGTGATTGCCTGTATTGGTTTTACCTAGAATGAGGAATGCCTGGCTTAGATTGCTTCTGGGTCTGTTTGTTTTTCTTTTTAGATATGAGTGGTGGATTGGCCCCAAGTAAAAGCACAGTGTATGTATCCAACTTGCCTTTTTCCCTGACCAACAATGACTTATACCGGGTAAGTTAAGTTTTAGTATTAGTACTGTTATCTTCTGAATTCTTTATTTGAGAAACAGGTATAGTTTAAGCAAACAGTTTCCCTTGGCAAAAATTCTTAATACGTACATTACAATGCACTTAAGCCATTAGTCTTCTATTGGTCTTATACCAAATAGAGGCCTTATACCAAAGACCTCTATTGCAAACATGAGTAACTGAAAAAAAAAATAGACACTCATAATTTCCAAAGAGAAGTTGCAGTGCTTTTGTAGAGAATAACAAGTTCTTTATAAACACAGAAGAGCAGCTAGCATAATGAAGTGGCAGCAACTTGTGATACGCTGATTTTTCCTGCTTGCTTACTTGGCTTTTCAAATTGGTAGAGGGGTGGAAGTTTTGGAGGAAAGGGCTGATGGAAACAAATATCCTTTCCAAATCCTCAAATTCTTAAAGTATATCTTAATTTACCTATGTGACAGAAACTTAACAGTTAAGTGAATTTTGTTTTCAATTCAGGATAGGGATGGTTGAGGAGGAAAAAAGTCCCTTCCGACATATTCTTTCACCTGTTTACCTTACAGAGAATAAAAGTTCCTGCAGCGCTTGTCCTGCAGATGAGTGGTTGAGAGAAACTGGAAGGAATGACATGAATCCTTTCTTCCAACTGTGCCCTCTTCTCTCTGCTCCTTTGGGTAGATATTAAGTAGAGAGATGCTGCATAGATGATATATTGTACTTCATTAATTACTTAAGATACACCTTGAGCATCAAAGAACAGAGGAGAAAATGAACTTTCACTTCCTTCCTTGTTACAAAATAGAGACATTTCTTGCTGTATGCTCAGCACTCTTACAGGTCTTAGGAACACATCAGTGAACAAAAAGATCAAAATCCCTCTTGGTACTCACATTGTAACAAAATAGAGAAATAGCGTGCAATATAAAAAAAAATCAAGTGATGTTATTTGTTAGATACTAAATTAATGCCAAGATGTTAGTTGCTAAGGAGAAAACAATAAAGCAGGAAAGGAGGGTTATTAAATGTTAGGTTGGGATTGGAGGTGAAACTTTACACGGTGGTCTTGTGAGAAGGTGACTTTTGAATCAAGAGCCGAAGGAAGTAAGAGACAGTTGTGCAGATGTCTAGGGGACAAGCCTTTTAGGCACAGAGTAAATCAAGTGGAAACAAGAAGATGGGCAGTCAGAGTAAGCCCATGCAGGGGTTTCTTATGGGGCCTACGCAGATAATGGTAAGGACTTTGAGTGAAATGAGAAGCCAATAGAAAATGTTATACTCGTATGGAAAGCTGTCGGTTACTGGTCTTCAGAATTCAGTGTGGCTAACATTGCAATCCAGTTATACTACTTTCCAGCATTGTACAGTTAATCATAGAACTCAAAATTTATTATTATTGATTATTAATGTATTCTAAAAAGACTTTTCTAAGAAGCATTATACATAAAATAAATAAGAACTGTTAATATACAGATAGTGGCTTTTGAAAACAGAATAGTTGAGATTGCTTAAGGTGAAGAGGTAGAAGTAAAAGAGAAGAAAGGACCGACTACAAAGTTCCACCAACATATTAAGGGTGGGCAGAAGAAGGAGACGGATGGGAATGGATTTTTCATTATAGAAGCATTTATGTTTTGTTTTTTATAAGCAGTTTACGTGTCTTCTGAAACAGTGATTGCTTGATGGGATGGGGGTTGGCTAGGAGTAGTGATATTGCACAACATTGATATTTGAAGCACAAGGTTTCTCTGGAGCTATGATGGGGTTGATAGTTGCCATGGATATACCACGGAAGCACAGCAGCTGTGCAATGTGTATGCTTTCCATCTACCACACATAGCACACATGAAGTGGGTTTTTTTCTCTCTCTATGCATTTTAGGAAATGAGGCAGATACTGTGACTCCAGCAACAACAACAAAAAAACGATATTATTCTAGTCACTAAAAAAATATATCTTCTAGGGCCTGCCTTATAAAAGCTAAAGTTTTTCATAAACTATAACAAAGAATGTGGTCAGTGTATACAACCTGAAATTTGAATGTTGGTTTTTTTTTATGATTTTAAATTAAATTGTAAATTACTATTGTATTTTGTTTCAGATATTTTCCAAGTATGGCAAAGTTGTAAAGTAAGTATTCACAGCAAATTTTGAAACTTCATTTAAAAATTTATCTGAATTTAGTTCTCTGTTTTTTAATGGAAATAGATTTAATATTTTTTATAAAACAAAGAAAATAAAAATACTCCTGTTAACATTTTATGCATATTTCACTCATTTTTCTATGTATGTAAACATGGATGGACAATGTTTTTAAATACACAATTTTATACATGCAATTTGATTGCCTTTTTTAACTTAACATTGTATCATAAATATCATTTCAAAAATAAATATCATTTTATGTACTATAAAGATACATCCTTATATTTAATAATTTCATGGTATTCATTTATATATCATAATTTATTTAAGCAATACAATTTCTTACCATGTTACTAAGAACTAAAACTGATTCTGTTATCCAATATAAGACATAAATTAAAGGCTCTGGTTATATATTTTGGTTACTAGAAGGTACATTATCAAGTATACTATAAATAATCATTTGTCAAACAAATGTAAATTATATTTAGAATATTCTTATAATGTAGATTAGAATGTAGAACGTAACATTTTAATGCATATGGTATGCAGAGTTCTATGAGGCTGATAATAGAAAATATATTCTCTGCCTTCATAAAATTTAGATATCATTGAAAAGACTGGAAACAAAGAAATGGTAGGGATGATAATATCAATTTGGACTGAGAGTAAAGAAAGGATAAAGGGACCTTGAGGTTCTCATATTTAATCCGCTATGTAAATCAACCAAGCAACTATATTATGGGACAATGAAGTAAAAGCAAGATACTATCACTCTAATTATTTTATAACCAATATACTGGTTTAAATTTTAAATCAGACTTAAAATCCCAAGAATTTAGAGCATATGTATCTTGACCAGTTTTACTTTTAACTTTTGATAAATGGATGTTAAACAGTTGAAGTTCATTTGCATCCTGAGGTTAACTTCCTTAAAAATCACTTCTTTATTAAAAATCATCAAAAATGCTGCTTCTAGGTAAATTTTTGGGTCTTCAGAATATCAAACAGTGTCATTTTCAATCAAAACACTAATGACATGTAACAAGGAGCACAGAAATACGCTAGTTACTACTCTAATCTTTTTATATACATTATATCATTAAATCCTGACAAGTACCCTTTAAGTAAATATTATTATTATCCTGATATTATAAATGACAAAACTGAAGCACACAGTAAGCCTAAAATTACATTGCTAGTTAGTGGTGGAGGCAAGATTTAAATCCAACAGTTTGATTCCACAGACTACTCCCTTAACCATACCATTACCGTTTCATGGTTTTCTTCTTCTCAGAATCTCTGAATGAATTACCATAGAAATATATATAATTATAATCCATGAGAATGCTATGATGTTAGAGACATAAAATCATAATCACCTAAAAATAGGGAATACCTGAAGAGGGAATACCTAGCCTAGAGAGTCAGGGTAGATTTGCCTAAATCAGTATGCTTTGATTTGAAACCTAAAGTCTGAATAAGAGTTAATTCGGCAAAAAGAATGGAAAGAACATTTCAGGTAGAGGAAATAGCTTGTACCAAAGCTCTGTGGCAAGAGAAAGTCAAGCGAGATCATGAAACACAAAGAAGGCCAATGTGACTAGAGACGAGTGAACAAGAGGGAGAAAGCCCAAAATGCGTCCAGAGATGGAAGCAGGTTCCTAATTTTGCTTGTTGGCCATGTTACAAGAAATTTGGTTTTTATCCTAAGAACACGAGGAATCCATTAAATAATTTTAAATGAGTGATATTGTCCTTCTGCCTTTATATTATCAGTGTTTAGTGCCAGTTTACAGCTAATGGAGTGACTAAGTGACCACATGAATAAACAAATAGATGCATTATTTTGAGAAACTACTTTCCGTTTATATCTATCTTTCTGTTTTAACATATTTAGGTAGGCTTAGTAGAGATTACAGAGACAACCTTAAAGGAGTTTATATTAAAATATGGGAGATGAGGCACTGTTTATACATAAATAGATTTCAGTAGAGACTAGCAAAAAAGAGGAGAAAGTATTTCCAGTTAAAGAGATTAGTTCCCCTTGTACCTACCCAGCCTTGGAATCAGCCATTTCTCTAAAGCCCTTTTGAACATTGTTTTTAAACTATGTTTAATGACAAATGATGAGTAAAGGGATGTTTAAGGGGTCAGGAGAAAGAGCAGGTTCTGTGCTCTTGTCACCATCCCTATCACTTAGGTACCTTGGGTGGTTTGGCTGAGAACCACAGAGCTGGAGATTCTTTAAAAGAATATTAAAAATATAGTTAGATTCTAAAACCTAGAAAAAAATAAGTGATTTTACTATTTGTGTAGAAGTTTTGTTTTCTGCAGGGTGAGAGAGTTAGTAGAGAAGAGGAATTATGCTTACTCTTTGAAATTCCTTGTCTCTAATCTCTTCATCCTTCAGCCTCTGATTAAAGTTTGACTTATCAGATACTTCTAATCATACTTGTATTCACTATTGTTAAATCACTATCACACTTTCTCATTTTCGTTCTTCTTGATATCCCATGACTTTGAAGAGAGAACTGTCAAATGTATTGAATTATCTTACTCTGTAAATGTTTTATTAACCCTTTATGAATGCAACACTTGAGTTTTCCAAGTTGTTAACATCTGTTTCATTTATTGCTGCCTCGTTATTTTTAACTGTCCATTTGTTTATGCTTTAAGGGTTACTATAATGAAAGATAAAGATACCAGGAAGAGTAAAGGGGTTGCATTTATTTTATTTTTGGATAAAGACTCTGCACAAAACTGTACCAGGGCAATAAACAACAAACAGGTAAGCCATTCATTCCCAATAAGGTTTTTAACCAAAAAGCCTTTGTGCTCATCTAGGCCAAAAATGTGAGGATATCACTAGATTCTGACAACTATAGTTTTAGGTTTCAATGAAATACATTTTTCTGCATTTACATTTTTCTCTGATTTAGTTATTTGGTAGAGTGATAAAAGCAAGTATTGCTATTGACAATGGAAGAGCAGCTGAGTTCATCCGAAGACGAAACTACTTTGATAAATCTAAGTGTTATGAATGTGGGGTGAGTATACCTAAAACTTAATGTAATTTTTCATAGTTTAAGGTATTTTTCACATCAGTGTTTTATTTGTGCTCTCCAAAATGTCTGGCTGGCTAAAACCAGGTTATGAAAGTTGTTTACTTTGGGACTCTAGACTCATCTAAGTAAACTCAATTGAAATATATAAAGATAATCTGAGCTGAGTAATAGGGAGTGATATTTTCTCCAGTTTCTAAATCTTCGCAAATTGTTAGATTAAAAAGTATTGACTAATTACTTACATCATTGTCTTGAAAGATTATGGCAACTCATAGATATTTGTGTTAATAGGATATTGCCTGTTACTGTAATATTTTGCCAATGGTTAAGCATCACAATCCAGTGTAAACATATTACATGACCTGTCCTCCATGGAATATTGTGTTTTAAACGTTGTTTGCTTGTTTTTTCCTGTTAGTATTGCTAATGTTTTGTGACTGAACTATCCCCACATTTTCTTATCTAGTTCTCATCATCTATTGTTATCCATTTAAATTTTGGGTGATTAAGAGAGATATATAGCCACAGAACAATTTTGCACGAGGCCCATAATGATGCCAAGAGAATTTCAGTCTGGGTCTCATTGTTGTCAGTTTCCAAATGCTGTTGACGTAAGAAACCTCCAAACCTGTAGAGAAGTTTTTTATAAGAATTTAGTTGAGCTAAACTGAGGTCATGCTGGTGAGCAAGATCTCAGATGCTCCAGAGAATAACAGTTTTGCAGTTCTCTAATACATTTAAAATAAGGAGAGAATGTGTGGGAATTGAATTAAAAGGTAGTTAAGATTATGTGCTCTTACACTTTAGAAGGAGAGGTCCGAAAGTATGGTCATGTATTAGAAAGAAGGGTCTGAAAAGGCATTTTAAAGGTGTGCTAACCTAGAAGCACAGAAACAACGGACAGGACTTGCTTAAGGCAAAGATAACCTTTTACTAAAGAAGTTACATACCTGGGGCATGAATACCCACTATGACCTGCCCAGTTAGGATTTTATGATCACATTACCTGAGGTTACTTTCCACAGAACCCCTTTTTTCATCCACATGGCTATATAAAATACTTTATATAAAAAAACAGGGTCTAGAGGCAGTAATGGAGAGCCGGGGAGAGGATTACTAAGAGACATTGTCCTGGCTACAAAATCATGTGGAAGATACAAGGAAATGAATTGGGGTCCTTCCCCCCTGCCATTCCCTAACTCACCCACCCCCGCAAAATAAATAGATGAAAAAACAGAAGGGAGGGAGGGAGGAAAAGAGAAGGAAGGAAGGAAAGGGAAAGGAAAGGGGAAAGGGAAGGGAAGGAAAAAGGAAAGAAGGCCTCTTAAGTTAATGTTTCAGAAACTGTGTTCCAGAGTCCAGGGTTTTATTTAAAAAGGAAAAAAAAAAAAAACAGGAAGGGAGAGATGTGTGTATTTTCCCCTTACAGTGCATATCAACTCAGAATTTCAGTAACCATGAGAGGATCATGACTCTTGGATACCATAATTGGACAATGCAAGTACAGTCTAGATAAAAGGAAAAAAATGAAATTAATAGGAAAAGTAAGGAAATTTTCCATTTGTTTTTAAAACAGAATGTTAAGAACATCTTGGAAGTTAGGAATGGTTTTGTCCCAATTTTATCAAATAATAACTTAAAATTTTTCATTTAAGGTACATAGTCCATTTAAATTTTGAATTGTTTTATATCTTGAATCTTGAGATTTAAAATGTTTGTAAAAAGAATACTTTTACTCCTAGTGAACTACTAAAGTACGCATTATTAAAATAGCTTTATTAAGAGTTATAATATCATATCTCCTTCTAAATATTAAAGTAATGGGTTTTATTAATTTATTCATGTGTGTTCCTTGTGTGGCAATTATTTTTTAAGCTCTAAAATCTTTTAGTCTTAGGGTACCAGGCAAGTTTCTGTTAATGACACAACAAATACAGTATTTTTCCTTTCCTTTTCAATGGGAAACAAAAGGAGAGTGGACACTTAAGTTATGCCTGTCCTAAAAATATGCTTGGAGAACGTGAACCTCCAAAGAAAAAAGAGAAAAAGAAAAAAAAGAAAATGCCTGAACCAGAGGAAGAAATGTATGTATATCCACTCTTGCTAAATATATTGTGTTGCTTCTATCCTTATACTATTGGTTAAGCGCTTTCTGATTTTTGTTTTTTTTTTAATTTAGTGAAGAAGTAGAAGAAAGTGAAGATGAAGGGGAAGATCCTGCTCTTGACAGCCTCAGTCAGGCCATAGCTTTCCAGGTACTATAAAGTTCTTCGAAAGGCACCGTGCCGTAGCTGCCTGGGTTAAGAGTTTCATTATTGCTTTCTTTATTCCTCCAGCCACCTGTCTTTCCCCTTTACCTCCTTCACTTTAGGAGACAGGCTACTTCTCTAGGGTCTTAAGAAGAGTATAATGGAAAAGTTCCCATTCTTTCTAGACTTTAAGGACCGCATCACACTTTCAGTATCTTAATTTGTTTTCATTATAGAATTGAGCAGAGCTGTTGGGTTGTTGGAAAAGTCATGACATATTTTTTCTATGTTTTTCGTTGCAAAAATGCGTCATGACTTTTCCAACAACCCAATATTTCATTAAAGTGAGCTTATCTCTAAAGAAAAGATTTCATTAAGGTAACGATATTATTTTTTTATTTATTTTATTTTTTTAGCTGAGCCATCCTGCCACCTGTTGGCAGCTCAGCTCGGGAATCAAACCGGTGGCACTGTTGCTCAGAGGTCACACTCCTGAGCAAGCTCTTTACCAACTGAGCCACTCGGCCAGCCCCCGGCAATGATATTATTTTAAAAGAAGCTTCGCTTCAAAACAAAACCAAAAACATACTGGGATTCCCAAAAAAATGTATACACATGGCTTGTATTCATCTTTTATTATTGGTGTATATTGAGTATTACAATTTTAATACAGTTTTTTCCTTTCTTAAAATGTGTATACATTGTTTTGGCACCCCCAGTATTTTTGACCGTTAAAGTCCCTGATACAAATATGTAAAACAGTTTTGAACGGTACACAGTCTCCTAATTTTTACATAACCAGATATTTTGTTTTAATGTATTTGATAAATGTATATGTTAGTTTATTTTTCCTTTTCGTTAACTAATGTCGTATTTTGTATAACATTCCTACCTCCATCAGGTTGGAAAGTAGGCTTCATTCCTTGTGCCTGGAGTAGAATTGTTTGCATAGACTGGGAGGGTAGGGAGTGTTGACCCTTGTGCCATGTTTTTGCATTGTTTTGAGTTAATGTCCCATAAATAACACTAAACAGGTTCCTGGTTTTGTTTTGTTTTCTGATTCACAGCAAGCCAAAATTGAAGAAGAACAAAACAAATGGAAACCCAGTTCAGGGGGTCCCTCAACATCAGATGATTCTAGACGCCCAAGGATAAAGAAAAGCACGTATTTCAGTGATGAGGAGGAACTTAGTGATTAAAATTGTATTTATTATGTAAATATCATTTAACTTTTTTTTTTAATCTTGGAGTACCAAGTTTAGTTAGGACTAAAGATTACTTTTAGAATTAAGCATAAGAATACTTAGTACCAAATAATTTTTTACTATAAAATAGTTCAGAGGAAATTGAAAAGAAGTTTTAAAGTATCATGTTTCTATCTTGTCTTAGCAGAGCAATAAAAATCAAGATTTGCTAATAACCATTAATCTTGGAAACAGTTTATTTGGATAAAAAAGAAAACCTAATACTATCGTAGTAATGCTATTGTCATCCCAAGAAAAAAGATAGATACTAAAAAGATTTGAGAGTTCATTTAAAAAGTTTATTCATGTCTGATTGCTTTACAAGAGGACTTTTAAAATAAATTTCCTCTTTAAAACAAAAACTTTATAAAAACTGAAAAAGTTGAATGATTTCTTACTAATTTTTCAAGAGAATTTGTTTTTAAATAGGGATGTTTCGTCACCTTCTTTCTTTCAGTTTTATCCTAATCTAGATACGTTGTAATTCTCCATAAAATATAAAGTAACTTTAAAAGGCTGTTTCTTTTCATATGTCATATATTTTACTAAATAAAATACATATTTTTTTGCTACTTAATTCATAAAGGGATAAAAGAGGATTTGCCAATCTCCTATACTCCCCACTGCCCTCTTCCACCTTTTCAATATGGCTGTTAAAATTTTTGGTTAAATCTGTATTGTTTTTGTTTTATGACCATATAAATACTGTTCACCTCTAAGCTAACAAGTGTACTGTAATTACGTTTTTCCTAGAGTTAATAGTAGCCTCATTTTTTCATATATTATAATTTTATTTATGACTAAATCTTCTCATACCTTCTGCAGATAGTTATATGGGAATAAGATTATGGAGCCTTTAAATTTCTACTTTGTGTATTTCTATACTGTTTGAATGCTCTTAAAAAAGAACATCCATTTCTTAGTTGTTTTTTTAACTAAAAGCAATGAAAGTATTTCATTTTAAAAACTACAAAAGCAGTGAAATTATTAACCACTAGCCAGCAAAGAATCTTTCAGATTTCAATGAGGAAACCAGACAATTAAATGCAGGACTCTACTTTCTACTTTTTGTGTTCCACCCATTAATTTGCCAAGTTTAAAGCAAAAAACTTGGGGAAAAATTTTGCCATAAAATAGAGAAAAGTTTATATGAATACATTTAAATATGAACAGTCAGATAAGCATCATCAAACATTTGAGGAAAGCCTCCAACATAATACAGACCCAAATGCCCAGATCCCCAAAAAAGAAGCTTAGAGGAGCTGAGGAATTCTGGCTTTAAAAATCTATCTGGCCCCATGGATTTCAGAGAAAGAGATTGTGGACCTGTAATAAACTTGGTGCTTTCTAATATGAAAGCATTTGTCAATCAGAATACTTGTCTTGCTGGATATAAGTTATGTTTTTTTCCCTTCTTCAATCATTTATTTACTTACCTGCTTTTCTGACTAGATGCCTATTCTGAAACTGCCAATTATAATTTTCAGGGATCATGAAAGTCAGTGATGGCCACAGTAGGACATATTTATAAGTATTAAATGTTAATTCATTTTTTTTGTTTTATATTCCATAAGTGTGTGTATATGTGGCACACAATAGTGATCATGGAATATTTAGGCATTAAAATGTATAAATAGTAAAACCTTAGCTACCCCATCTAAAGAAGTACAGTACTTGAAAACTTTACATAGAATATACCATAGATAAATCAGTAATTTAGACTCAGTCATTTATAGAGTGAAAGCATAATTTTAAAAGGTGACAGGAAGAGTCATCGGATCACGTAACCAAGACATTCAGCTTCATAAATGGATGAATGGTTTAAAATTAATTAGAAGTCTATTTTTCTTTGTCTCTTACCACTCCTTTCCTCTGTACTACCTTCATTTTCCAACAGCTTTATGTGATAGCAGAGATGACCACCCGTATCTCTAAAGCTAGGAGTCCTAATAATGAGAAGCCCTCTTCCCCAATGGTTCCAGCAAAAGTCCCAAGACAAGCCCTAATTGGCCAGGCCTGTGTCACCATCCCCAGGCCTGAAGATGAGTAGGGTAAGTCCCACCCAACCCACATAAGACTAAGATGTTCCTATACAGTGTGGCATCTATTTTCAGTTCGGAGTCAATGTGTAAACTACTTGCCCTGTCAAAAGAATTTTAAGCTCTCCTTTCATCATTGTCAAAGACAACACTGAGGCAGTTGAGCAAGATGCACAGAGTAAATAGAGATGCAGCAACAAACAAAAAGAAACCATGTCCCATAATAAACAATTTTCGCACTTTGCAGAAATACAGAAAGAGGGTAAACCACCTCCCAGAAAAAGCAGCTTGATAAGCACTGTTACTTAAAGTAATAATGTAAGCAATTGCAGTCAGAGGCCAAACTGTAAATCCACAGAATGGGTTTACCTACTATCAATTATTTTAAAAATTGCTTTTATAAGATCCAAATTTTGAGAATCCTTAGGTGCTGTTATAGATAGAAACAATTAATTTCAGTTAAGATCTGGTATCTAGAGTAAGCCGACCAGAACTATAACAACTTTTATAGAATGTGGTCTTAAGCAGAGTTCTTTCTGGGAGAGTTGCATTTTTTCTCAGAACATCTTTTCAGATGCATGGCTTTATGTGAAACACATAATCTTTATAAGGAAATGGTATAGTTTGGTTAGGGGTTTATGAGTGTACTCAAAACACATTAAACACATAAGCTTTTAGCAAATTATATGAAAGAATTTGTATCACCAGTTTAGCACTATGCATCAAGTGCTGTTCTAAAAACACTACAGATATAAATTAACTTAATTCCTTTTAGGTAGGCATTATTTTCATCATTATATAGATGATAGAATTAAGGCACAGAGAGGTGAAGTAATATACGCAAAGTCACACAGTCAAGCACAAGGATTTAAATCAGGCTCTAGAATCTATACACTGTGCTATGATGCTTCTCTCAATGAGTACTCTATATTACTGCCTTATCAACGGGAAGGTGGATTATATTTCATATTTACATATGAATAAAAATTTGTCTTAGAACTGTTCTTTCTTAATGATTTTTCTGAGATAGAAATATTCTTTGGAAGAGCCAGCAAATTTGAAAGGTAAAGCTTAGAAGATTAAATGTATTATGCGTTCTTTAAATTTTTAAAATAATCTCCACTTGGAAGTCTCATAGACCTCAAATTTATCTGTCCAAATTGAAGTAGTCTTCCAAATTGGCTATACCCACAGCCTTTTCCATTTCTTTTTTTTTTTTTTTTTAAGATTTTTTATTGGGGAATTAGGGGGAGGGGAACAGAGTTGGGGAATCGGGGAAGGGGAACAGACAGGTAGACAAATTGCTGAATTGTTCTTCAGTCTAGTTGTGGAGGACGTCACTTCACTGGCCCATGTTGGTATGATCATTGTGTTCATCCCGGGTGAGGCAATCGGTCACCAGTCATTGGTCGGCCACTCACAGTGGCTCCCGGTAGCTCACACAGGCTACCAGCCGCTCACGCTGGCTGCCAGCCACTCACGTAGCTCACAGCAGCCCACTGCAGCCCACACCGTCGCCGGCGACTCACAGCAGCCCAGCTCCAGGTCGAGCTGTTGTTCATCATCTTAGCTGTAGAGGGCAAGCGTCACTGGCCCTCATGTGGGATCCAAACCGCAGCCCTGCTGCTCAGAGCTGGCGCTCCCAAGCGAGCTCTTAACCAGCCGAGCCACTCGGCCAGCCGGCCATTTCTTAATGTTAACTCCATCCTTTAGCTCAGGCCAAAAAATCTTGGTGTTATCCTTGTTTCTTTGTATTTTCTTATACCCCACATCCAAGTAATAAGCTGTCAACTCTATCTTTAAAATATATTCAGACATACAGAGTTAGTCCACTGCTATTACCTTGGCTCAGGACACCATCATCTATTGGATCTTCGGACAAGTCATGACGCGTGTTTGCAACAGGTGGCACTAGTTCATTTTTTCTTTTTCTTTTTTTTTTTTTAAGATTTTGGGGAACTAGGGGAGGGGAATAGTATTGGGGAAGGGGACCAGCCAAGTTGTTCTTCAGTCTTCGTTGCGGTGGGCGCCAGTCGCCACCTGGCTGCCCATCGGCAGCCCGTGACCTCTAAGCTCAAGGTGCTGTGTTACAATCTTAGTTGCGGGTGGGCGTAGCCACAATCCCATGTGGGAGTTGAACCAGCAGCCTTGTTGTTAAGAGCACACGCTCTATGCACTGAGCCAACCGGGCAGCAGCTCAGCTCAAGGTGACGAGTTCAGTCTTAGTTGCGGGTGGGTGTAGCCCACCACCAAACAGAAAATCTTGTTGTTACACCAGCTGAGCCATCCTGCCACCTGATGGCAGCTCAGCGACATCTCAGCTCGGGTGCACTGTCACTGGCCCATGTGGGAATCGAACTGGCGGCCCTGTTGCTCGCACTCTTAGGCCAACTTTTAACCAACTGAGCCACTCGGCTGGCCCACTGGTTCATTTTTGGAAGTACTAGACTCATTCGCATCTATGTTATTGCTATGTCATTTGACAGCTGACAGTTCTACCTTCATTCTAAAAAAAACTGATTTGGGAGAGTTTTGGAGATTTTACAAGTTGAAGATGGAAGACCAAACTCTGCATTTTTGCCATATTTTACTGTTTTACTTCCATAAAGGAAAGAACACACATCAAGCTTGTGAAAAGTTGCGTAAAGTTTACGGTGACAATGCTCTACAAGAACCTCAGTGCCAATGATGGTTCATGAAATTCCGTGCTGGTCATTTTGATCTCAACAGCGCTCCTTGGTCAGGGAGTCCCACCAAGGTTGATGACGACAAAATAAAGTCATTGATTGAGTCAAATCCATGTTACACGACATGAGAGATTGCAGAAACATTGAACATCCATCATTCAAGCGTTCACGGCCACCTGAAGAAGCTGGGATTCGTAAGCAAGCTCGATATTTGGGTTCCGCATGAACTCAAAGAAGTTCATTTGACAGTGCGTATAAACATCTGCAATATGCTCATTAAACGTGAAGAAAAGGATCCTTTTTTGATAACTGGTGATGAGAAGTGGATTGTTTACAACAATGTGGTGCACGAACGGTCTTGGTCCCAACGTGATGATTCGCCTCAAACAACATCGAAAGCAGACATTCATCAGAGGAAGGTTATGCTCTCAGTGTGGTGGGATTTTAAAGGTGTTATGTTTTTTGAGCTCGTATCAAGGAACTAAACAATCAATTTGAATGTCTACTGTGGGCAATTGGACAGTTTGAATGAATCCATCATCCAGAAACGTCCAGAGCTTGTTAATTGTAAAGGAGTGTGTTCCATTGCAACAACGCAAGACCACACACAAATTTGATCACCCATCAAAAATTATTGGAGCTTAGAGTGCCGGCCGAGTGGCTCAGTTGGTTAAGAGCTCGCGCAAGAGTGCGAGCTCTGAGCAACAGCGGTTCGATGCCTGGCCCAAGCTGAGTTGCTGCTGAGCTGCCAACAGGTGGCAGGATGGCTCAGCTAAAAAACAAAACAAAACAAAACAAAACAAAAAAATTATTGGAGCTTGGATGGGATGTGTTGCCACACGCACCATACTCGCCTGACCTTGTGCCGTCAGACTTCCACTCTTTTCGTGCTCTTCAAAACTCCTTGCATGGTATAACATTCAATTCAGATGAGGCTGTAAATCAACACCTTCTTCAGTTTTTCACAAATAAAGACAGGTCCTTCTATGAACGAGGAATCTTTGAGGCTCACTGAAAGATGGCAAAAGGTTATCTAGCAAAACTGGCAATATATCATTGATTGATCTTTGTTCTTTATATAAATAAATGACCTTTGAAAAACATAGACAAAATACGTTATGACTTTTCTGAAGACCCAATATAATAGAATTACTGCAATTGCCTCCTAGCTATGTTCCACAGAACTCATATTGGTTTTTTCCTATACATACATAGCTTTTCAGTTAAAGCACTTTAAGGCTTCTCATTGACATATCCAAATTGCCAGCATCACTACTCTTGCACTTTGAGGCCATTATGAAGTAAAATAAGGGTTACTTGAATACAAGCACTACAATACCATGACAGTCAATCTGATAATCGAGACAGCTACTAAGTGACTACTAACTGGCATATACAGATGTGCTGGACAAAAGGATGCTTCATGTCTTGGGCAGGACAGAATGAGACAGCATGAGATTTTCTCACTTCCCAGAACGGTACAGAATTTAAAACTTAGGAATTGTTTATTTCTGAAATTTTTCATTTAATATTTTAGAACCATGGGGTTCATTGCAGGTAACTAAAACCAAAGATAGGGAAGCCATGGATAAGGGGCGGACTAGTGTATATAATATATACAATATATATAATATATATTATATATATATATGCATGTATATGACAATAGCACAGAGGAAGGTGGACAGGATGGAACTATATTGGAGAAAGGAAATTATTACATAGATGGTAACTCAAATCATGGGAAGAAATGAAGTACAGGAAATGGTAAATTTCCAGTAAAAATATAAATATATTTTTCTCCTCTTAAATTCTTTAAAAGACATACTATTATGTAAAGCAATAACTTTAACACTTGTTAAGTTTATAATATATGTAGCTATAATACATATGAAAATAATAGCCCTTTGCACTCCTCCCAAAAAAATCTTGTGGCCAATTTGTAGTTACTACCTTTCCCATCCTTAGTCCCAGGCAACCACTGATCTGCTTTTTATCTCTATAGTTTTGCCTTTTCTAGAAATTTCATATACATAGGATCATATAAAATGTGGTCTTTTGTGTCTGCCTTCTTTCATTTAGCATAATGTTTTTGAGGTTCATCTATACTGTAACATGTATCAGTACTTCATTTTTTATGTTGACAAATAGTCCATTTCATGTTTGCACTACATTTTGTTTATCCATTTGCCACTTGATGGACATTTGAATTATTTCCACTCTTTTGGCTATTATAAAGAAGGCTTCTATGATCATCTGTTTACAAGTTTGTGAGAACATATATTTTCATCTGGAGGGGGTAAATACTTAAAAGCAGAATTGCTGTGTTTTATGGTAAATCTATGTTTAATACTTTAATAAACTGAAAACTATTTCCAAAGTTGCTGCACCACTTTACATTCCTGCTAGCAATGTATGAGGGTTCCAGTTTCTCTACATCTTCAACAACACTTGTTACTGTCTTTTCTATTACAGCCATTTTTGTGGGTGTGAAGTGTTATATCATTATGATTTTAATTTGCATTTTCCTAATTAATGATAGTGAACATCTTTTCATGTATTGACCATTCATATCATTTTTTACTGAAATGTCTGTTCAAATCTTTTGCACATTTTTTGTCTTATCATTGAGTAGTATGGGCTCTTTACATATTATGGATACAAGTCCCTTATTGAATATATGATTTAGAAATATTTTCCGGTCTGTGGTTTGTCTTTTTACCTTCTTAGTATGTCTTTTGAAGGGTAAAATGTATAATTTTAGTGAAGTCCAATTTATTGATTTTTTTCTTTCATTGCTTGTGCTTTTTATGTCTTATAGAAGAAATCTTTTCGCTAGGTATTGTGGACAAAACAGCAGTATTGTAATAAACCATAAAATCTTAAATAGGGGCCGGCCGAGTGGCACCATGGTTAAGAACTGGCTTGGGACGCCAGAGGGCCCCAGTTCGGATCCCACATATGAGGGCCAGTGACACTGCCCTCCACAGCTAAGATGCTGAACAACAGCTCAACCTGGAGCTGGGCTGCCGTGAGTCGCCAGTGACGGCGTAGGCTGCAACCCCTGTGGCAGTGGGTTGCCATGGGCTACCGTGTGTAGCCAGCAGCCAGCGTGAGCAGCCAGCAACCGCAGTGAGCGGCGGTCCAAAAGCCGGCGACTGATCTGCCTCGCCAGGGAAGAGCGCAATGATGGTGCCAACTTGGGCCAGTGAAGCAACGTCCTCCACAACTAGACTGAAGAACAAAACAACAGCAACTTGTCTGTTCCCCTTCCCCCAATTCCCCAATAAAAATCTTTAAAAAAAAAAAAATCTTAAATGGGCAGGTAATGGTGAGTAGTCATGCTGTAGGCATATAAGGTTTTAGTAAAAGATTTTATCTTTGTCTTAAGCAAGACCTATCGATTGTTTTTTCGCATGTAAGTTAATACAGTTATGAAATAAGCCATAACCACCCTCAAGATAACACATAATCTTAACTGTCCTGCAATCCAATCCCTGTCTTGCTTTCTCCCACCTTCATGTAATTTTCCTTACTTCCCCTCCTTAGTCTCAAATGCATAAAAGAAATTGCAAAACTGTTATTCTCTGGAGCACTTGAATTCTTCCTCCCCAGCATGTCCTTGGTTTGGCTCCAATAAACTCATAAAAATTCGCTACAGGTTTGAATGTTTCTTACACTGACAGTATAGAATTTTAGTTTGGTAATGTTTTCTTCCAGCTCATTGAAAAAATGATTTCATTATCTTCTGATTTTCATTGTCTCTTTAAAAGTACCTTTTATTATCTTTGGGATTTTATATTCTGGATATTCTCTTCCAGTTCTATCTTCTAGATCACTAACTGTTTCTTAAACTTTGTCAAAAATTCTGTGAAACCCTTGCATTGAGTTTTTTTGTTTGCTTTTTTCACAATGATTTTCATTTCTTGAAATTTTTTTTTTTCAGACTTGCAGTTGGTTAAGGCTGAATTTAGTGACTTGCTTGGTCAATAGAATGCATTGGAAGTGATATCCTAGGAATTCCAAGGTTAGAACATAAGTTTTGAAGCTTCCACCTGGCCTTTTGAAATGCTTATTCTGGGGACACTTAGTACTTACTATGAAACTCCACTTGGGAGCCCAGCCTTCGTGCTGCAAAAAACAGGCCATATGGAGAATGAGTAGGCACACATCCACTCATTAAAAGTTCTAGCTGAGCTCCTAGCAGACAACAAGCATCAACATGTCTGCTGATATCTGTGCAAATGAGTTATCTTAGCTATCCAATCCACTTGAGTCTTCTAACTGTAGCCCAAAGACAATTCCAAAGTTTGCAGTCAGACATGGAAACAGATTAAGATAGACACTAGATTGGACTCAGTGGTTTTCTTTCACCTCTTTTTCATGCCATCCTGCTCTCCCACCTTTACTTACTAATTCTCAGAGTTTTGGAAACTGCATTTTTTAATCCCTCTTCCTTCCACTCGTTTATTCTTTTTTCTCTGGACATGAAAGCATCCATTTTAGACTATAAAGATGAGATGGAAAATGGGGCTGAATGTATATTAATACAGTGAGAATTTATGAGAGAAAACAATGTATGTAAAATATGCAGAATATTGAAAAGGGGTTTTATTTTTTTAAGACCAGATTTTATGAAGTTATCCTATAGAACTAATGATTAATAATTCAGAACTTATACAAATCTGTAAAAACAATGATGCCACTTATACTGTCATGGTATGTTGGAAATTAATTGCCTTATTAAATGCAAATATACAGAAATCCTGGTGTTGATGAGGAAAATTAATGCTTCTTTTAGTCTAAGACTATAATGTTTTTTTTTCAGGGAAACATTATTTAACCCATAGTTTAAACAAAATAATAATAAGATGTTTTAGGACAAGATATAATTTTCAGTGGAAATGCTTTGACGTAAGTATACAAATCTAGGTACTAACAAGCTGTGTTGTAATGTGGTTTAACACACTAATAATCTACAATGGAAGGTTTTTTTCCAGGGAACCTCTGAATTAGGGGAAAATTTTAAACAATAAAATGTATGATAATAATAAGCACTACTTTATGTATTATGCATAACATTTTAAGCTTATTTTCTTTCCTATGCTTAATGGGCAGTAATTATGTAATGTAATATTGAATGCTCACTAAATATTAATAGTGCATTGGGTATTTTTCAGAAATTATATTTTTGTTGATTAGGAAATATAAAATGTTTTCACTAAATTTTAGGTGAGTAAATTCTAAACCAGTATGCCCTTAATTTATTTGCATATAACTACATATTATGTCATCATTTTCTATACACAGCTACTGCTACTGATAACATATATCCTGTGGTAAATGCTTACTATGTACCAAATACTATTCTAAGCTCTTAAATGTATTTTCTAATTTAATCCTCCCAAGAGTCAGAAGCGGTATTACGGGAGACTGCTACTCATATTTCCTCGACACAGAAACCAGAAAAGAGCTCTAATACTTTTTCTTTTCTTTTTTTTTTTTTTAAGTTGGGGAATTGGGGGAGGGTAACAGACAAGTTGCTGCATTTTGTTCTTCAGTCTAGTTGTGGAGGACATCGCTTCACTGGCCCATGTTGGCATTGTGATCATTGCGCTCTTCCCGGGTAAGGCAGATTGGTCACTGGCCACTGGACGGCCACTCACCACGACTCTTGGCAGCTCATGCCAGCTGCTGGCCACTCAGGCCGGCTGCTAGCCACTCATGGTAGCTTATGGCAGCCTACTGCAGCTCCCCTGTAGCCTATGCCATCGACTCATGGCAGCCCAGCTCCAGGTCAAGCTGTTGTTCACCATCTTAGCTGTAGAGAGCAGTGTCACTGGCCCTCATGTGGGATCCGAACTGGGGCCCTGCTGCTCAGAGTTGGTGTCCTAAGCCAACTCCTAACCAACATGCCACTCGGCCGGCCCTTAAAATGATTGTTATGGGCACTAAGTTACCACCAGTAGAATGCCAGATGCTAACACCTAGAGTTTACGATAATGTTAAAGATTAATAATTGATTTGGCTTATTTTGAAAGCTTACCAACCAAAAACTGCGGTGTAAATGAAAAAAACAAACAAAAAAACCAAAACACCTGGTTACCCTGATACATTCTTACTAGACTACTCTTTTAAAACCCACATTTTCATCTCCATAGCAAATGTCAGGAATTCTAAGGTTGGACTCGAATGTTTTATGGTTGCAGTATTAGATGATGATCTCAGTATGAACTCTTCCAACATTTCATTAAGCATTTGTCTTTTGTCAAAAACTATAATATTTTTAAAATCATTGCTCATAAAGATATCTGTATTTCTATGTTCTACATACTATAAATAATAGTTTAGCCTGGAAAATGTCAATCCTCTTTTCAAATAGAACCTCTGCCTCCTTTTAAATAGAAAAAACAAATGTGTTTTTGCCGTCCTTCATTTAGTTCTCATCTGATAAACCCAAACATGTAACTTTAGATAATGCATGCCCTCTCCACCATACTGTTTGAAATTAAAGAATCATATTGCAGAAACACATATACATCAAATTATGAACTGTTTGTTTTTTAAAAATCCTTTGAAAAAAATCTTTGCTTGAATAGACTAGAGAGATGATGATTCATGCCATAATTTTATCTCATGAAACTATAGCAAATCTCTTTTGGCTAACATCCCAGCCAAATTCTAAATGTGACTAAATCTAGATGGAACATAGCTGTCAGATTCGGTTCTGATTTTACGTTGCTTTTTTTTTTTTTTTTAAAGATTTTATTGGGGAATTGGGGAAGGGGAACAGACAAGTTGTCCTTTTGTTCTTCAGTCTAGTTGTGGAGGACATCGCTTCACTGGCCCAGGCTGGCACCATCATTGTGCTCTTCCTGGGCGAGGCAGATCAGTCGCCGGCTTCTGGACGGCCGCTCACGGCTGCAGCTGCTGGCCACTCACGCTGGCTGCCAACTACACATGGTAGCTTATGGCAGCCCACTGCAGCAGGGAGCTGCAGCCTACGCCGTCACTGGGTCGAGCTCTTGTTCACCATCTTAGCGGCAGAGGGAAGTGTCACTGGCCCTCATATGTGGGATCCGAACCGGGGTCCTCTGGCGTCCCAAGCCAGTTCTTAACCAACACACCACTTGGCCAGCCCTTAAGTTTCTTAAATATATACCCAGGTACTGTATTTGACCACCTGTGGCCATCAGTTACAGAGAAGACTGCAAGTAAAATCACTCTTATGATTTTTAGTCCTAAATAGTCAATCACTTTTTGCTACAGTTCTGGGAGATGCAATTATTATATCAAACACTACTCTTATATAATTTTGCTTTGTCATTCAGTTCTGTGTGTTTCAATATCTAGCATAGATTTTCTTTAATAATAATAGTAGCAAAATGAAGAGAAATAACTACAATTTGAGAACCTGTATGCCATGTACATTTCATACACCATTGCCAAACGTCCTTACAGTCCTGAAAGACAGGTGTTGCCCATAGACAAAAGTGGTACTCTTTGTTCTAGTCCTTTGAGCTCTGTCTCAGTTCACAAGGGGAGTTTCTATGGTTTGATTTGGTTTGGTTTGCTTTAAGGAACATTGCCATATGTTGGGAGCCAGCTGCACCTCAGTATCTGACATGGCCTATCACACTGCTATTTTGACAAATCCTGAAGCTCTGGCTGAGAAACAGATACTGCTTTATGTTTTGAAAAATTTAAATTCCCCTTTGGATGCCCCCAGTAGGATAAAAGATCTGACACCCCTTCTTATATTGTTTTATTTTCTTTAAATAAGTGAGTTTTGGACATATTACGATAATTCTGTTTTACTGTTAGTTTCTTAATGATAGATTCTTAGTGATAGACAAGTTATACACCTTATAGTTCTTAAAGATCCTGTTTAGCCGGGAGTGTTTGAAATAGTTGCTAAGTAGTAAACATCCTTTAAGTGCCAAGGCAGGAACTCGGCTCTGGCCATTAGCGGAAGAAATTGAAACATAGTTAGGATAAGTTAGTCATTAGTAAAGAACAGATCTGGCTGTACCCTGCAAAAGAAACATCGTGAGGAAGTAAAATTCAGAGAAAAACAAACTTCTAAAGAAAATAGACCCTGGGAAGGAAGGAACATTGAAACTATGTAGAAAACAATTTCCTAATGGGTAAAGGTTTAAACGTGGAAAAACAACTTTGGGAAAAACAGCTCAATGACGTAAATAGTTACCTGCCCAGTATAAAAAGGACAGGCTGTAAAAATAAAGTGAGACATTAATTCTTGAAAAGCGCTTCTCTGTCTCCGCGATCCGTCTCCACCTAAGGGAACCCCTGGACTTGTGGGAGCTGGTCTCCTGCAGCCGTAGCCATGGCTAGTGGCTTGGTGTGTGACCATTTTCAAATGCCCTACCAAGACTGAGGTAGCAATAATTTCTAAGAGGTAATGCTACACCTTCAAAAGTGAACTAGCTCTTTCTCGTCTCTTCAATTCTGCACCCATGAGGTTATGGAAGTCAGGGTTTGGACTCGGTAGAAGCCTAAACCCCCTTTCCTTTCTCTGGTCTCCCTTTGTCTCTCTTTTCCCAAGTGACACAATCAAGCTCAGTGTCTTGCTCTGGTATAAGAAGGTCTGGGGTAGATGCTCTATGCTCAGGCAACAATTTTTCTCTTTTTATGTGTCCCTTGTTCTTTAGCTCTGGTAGGTGTCATTTTCATACTACTGGCATGGTAAATTTCAAGACTTGGATATGAATAGGGGGTGAGATAGGAAAGAGAAAATACTTGTCATTTGGTTTGTTTTGGTCATTGATTTCTAGGGCCTCCAGCCTAAAGAAGTGGAACTTAAAGAAGTGGAACTTGACCCTTCTTCTGGCCCAGCTCTCTGGAGTTTTACTTTAGGATTTGAAGCCAAAGATCTAGCTAACAGTGAGATATTATTTTATCTCGTTTTGCTCCTGTTGTGCATACAGCTCCCTCAATACCAACACAAAGAGAAGGAGCAACAGGCCCAACACCAAATTCAGCACCATCCTGACACTAACCCATTTTTATAATTTTAATAAGTTATACTAGCAAATATCTGTACTATGTGCTAGGCTCTGTTCCAAATGATTTAATCCTCACAACAACCATATTGCCTCTACACTGAAATAATTCCAGTAAGAGTTGAAAAGTACTATATTCTGAAGGTTGGAAGTGGAAAAAGAGTTAAAATATATGAAATGGCAACTTGTAGAGGTGCAAGCCTTCTTAGTGCTGGTATGACAAGTTGTGCTGGTATGAAACTCAATGTGAAGATTATAGATGTCAGCATCATATATGATGTTATTAATCACTTGAGGAAAAAATATTGATATTTTTATTTCTTAGATTTGTATCTATTAATTGGGCTATCGTTCTGTGTTCACTTTTGTAGAGTAATAACTCCAAATTATTTCTAAATTATTATTTACCTAGTAAATGAAGCACTTTCTTCCATGGATACTCAGCATTCAAGTTGTAAACATAAAAGATGGGCACTGAGAGAAGAAATGTTACTTTCCATCCATGCCCATCACAAGATTCTTACTTATAAGTCATAACACAAGGATGTCAGCCATCTTCAACTAAAAAGCCTACAAATAAAATCATTTTAGAAGATGGGTGGTCTTAGGGTCTAATAAGCCAGTTTACACTGTTCTAATGTAGCTCTCCATATCTTGTTTTGCATGATAGATCAAAGTCTCTACAGCTTGTTAGGAAGAGCTAAAACAAAAGCAGCCATAAGTTGAAACTAGATGCAGAGGAGGGTACAAGCAGGTCAATGAGACCTAGTAAAATAAAGCAAAAGTAGAATCAGATATTGGCTAAGGACAGAAACCAAGTTGCCCAAACGACACAATAAAAACTAGTAGACATAAATAGAAAAGGACAGACACCTAACATAGACTTAGGATTTCGATCTGCTTGACCTAAAAGAATCAATCAAAGGACAGCCACACACACACACACACACACACACAGCAAAGATGTGCCATGACAGCCTCTATTTTGGAATGTAAAGCCTTACAGATGTTCTTCTACGGGCCTTGAAGGCACAGCGCTCCCAACCTGGTGCTGACAGATGCTAAGGTCAGGCTCCCATGGGTCAGGTAGCTTGGCTTTGTTTCCTACATATTAATGTCACCCTTCTGTCTCTTAAGTGAATTCAGGTGGTTGTAAAAGGCACTGAGCCAGAAAACAGGAGAAAGGGTATAAATCTATCCCTGCTAATAAGAAACGACTCAAGGCACAGCACCCACCAGCATTAAATCAGAAGAAGCCTTGTTTGTATCATGTTACTAAGAGCAGGAATTGACCGATTTGCAAAGGTTCTGCCCATTGGCTCTCTCTAAATGTGGAAAAACATTTATCACCATTCTTGGGATCATTGGGATTATTGGCTCTGACTTCAGATAAGTAGGATAAACAAACCTCAGCTCAAATGGAAGCTTCTTCTGTTGCATTCCTTCACATCAGTCTTTCACAGCTTATCCTAACAGAGAATTTCTAATGGATTGCCTATATTTGCTTATTTGCTTTTCTTATGTGTCTTTATCTTCCATATATATGGTCTAATGGACACCTCTTAAGAATGTTATCATTTAAGGTGTTTCCCAGTGACTAAATATTTGCCCTATTTTGCCAATGATAATCAGCTCACTTGCAGATAGCCTCATCCAGTGGATTCAGCTTTTGCTTTCATTTCAGGAAACAGGAAAAGGTCAACTAGCTTATGGACAGGTCCCTTTTAAAAAGCATCAATGATGTATTTATTTAATAGTCCTACTTAAGTTACCTTATATGGGGACAAGATGGATAAATTATCCTTATGCCAGTGGATAGGCTGATTTCACTAGAAATGATGACATAGGAAATTAAAAACGTTTAAATGTTTCTAGACTTCTCTCTTAAGGTTATATACATTGTCCTACACCTACAACCCATGCTTGCAACTCTAAGGACAGTAAAGTAGGATAAGAAAGAATTGAGGGTAAAGTGCAAGAAAATGGAGTGAATGAGAGAGCCACTTATATTGGTTCAGATTTAAGTACTGGATTATTGGTTTGCATATAGGCTAGTTCCTCCATATGGAACATATATGCAGAGCTGACATATAATTTTTGTGTTTTTTAATTGCTATATATAATTATAGGCATTCACCCAACAACCTCTCATCTCTGCCCCAGAAGGCAGACCTTTGAATTTTCAGTCAGTCCCTATTTTCCCTGGCTATAGAAGCAACAGATTAGAAAGGAAGACAAGGCAGGTGGTAGCAAGTACATTGATAACATAAGAAGTAGTAATAGACGGCTGTACAATGAGGGAAGCGACAGAAAAAAATGTAAAAGCAGACTGAAGCCCTTAAAAGTTTTAGGCACCTGAGTACATCTATTATATGTGACAAATCTACACATCGGAATATCTTTTAAATGATACTAAGGTGTTTAGATAAGTAATTAGAGGTCATTAAGGACATTTCAGTGCTAGAATAACACAATCAGATTTAAATATTAGTTTTAACCAAACAAGAAATATTTAGCAAGAACCCTTCTGCCTGGACTAGCTAGGGTCACAGAGGTCAACAAGATCTGCTCCCTGTCCTCATGAAGTTCACTGTGTGGAGAAGAGATTATAGAAATCAAAGGTTCTAGGTCAGGCAGAGGAATGGCTGGAATACAAAAGATGATAAAGGGATGAAAACAAGACTTAGACATGGAATGTGGATGTGGAAAGTGACAGAGAGACAAGATTCTCAGGTGAATCCTGATTTCCCATGTGGGCAATTGCATAGATCAAGTTGTTAACCAGGATATGAAAAGAAAGAGGAAAAGTATTTTTGAGGGTAAGGTTTAGTTCACTTTTCGGATGTTTATGGGATAACCAGAAGCCAGAAATGTTGTTCTGAAGTTTCAAAGAAAATTCTTTGGCATTATCATTGTCATGGCTAATATTGCATGTCAACTTGGCTGGGCTAAGAGATGCCCAGATTGCTGGTGAAACATTATTTCTGGGTGTGTCTGTGAAGATGTTTCTAGAAGAGATTAGCATTCGAATCAGCAGGCTGAGTAAAGAAAATCTACCCTTACTAATGTGGGTGGGCATCAGCCATTCCATCCAAGGCCTGAATAGAAAAGGCAGAGCAAGGGCAAGCTCGCTCCCTCTCTTATTGAGCCTGGGACAGCCATCCCCTCCTGCCCTCAGACACCGAAGCTCCTGGTTTGTGGGCCTTTGGGCTCCAAGACTTGCACCAGTGGCCCCCCTAGTTCTCAGTCCTTTGGTGTCAGACTGGCTTTTCTGGTTCTCCAGATTGCAGATGGTATATCATAGCACATCTCAGCTTCCATAATCGCATGCGCCAATTCCCATAATAAATCTCATGTATACCAGGGTGCCAAAAAAATGTATACACATTTTAAGTGATATTATCTATGTATTACTTTTCAAAGTTGAATTGAATTATGGTAGGTAGCAATGTATAGTATGATGTTCACTCAGATAAATGCTAGCATCATTCATTGTATTACAATATTAATGAAGCTTTTTCCTTGCTTAAAATGTGTATATGTTTTTTTGGCACCCTCTGTATATCATCTCTTATTGGTTCTGTTTCTCTGGAGAACCCTGACTAATACAACTATGTATATGTGATGATAGAACTGCAGGTGAAGATGAGAATACTGTATATAGAACTAGAAAGAGATAAACTACAGGAACTTATGAAATATCTACATTTACAATATGCATAGATGAAGAGCTAGGAAAGGGTATTGAGAAGGATTTGGTCCAAGGAATAGGAATAAAATCAGGAGCAAGTGGTGTTATGAAAGCTATGTAAAATGTCAAGTGAGTACTGACAAGTGATTTTTGAATTTGACAATTAGAGCATCTTTAGTAAGCAGTGAAAGGGGAAGCCAAAATCTGAAGGTTTGAAAAGTGAATGAAAGTTGACAGAATGCGGGCAGCAAGTATTGCTTTTTTCAAGAGGCTTGTCTGTGAAATGGCCATACCTGGTATTCATGCCTTTGTGCGATCCCCTCCCCTTGAGTGTGGGCTAGACTTAGCAACCTGCTTCTGATGAATAGAATACAGCAAGAGATAGACTGTCTCTCCTCAGATTGGCTTATAAGAAGGCCAGATTCTGTCTTGCTCATCCTTTCTTGCACTCTCTGCTCACACTGATGGAAGCCAACGGTCACGTTGTGAGCTGCTCCGTGGAGAGGCCCACATGGCAAAGGACCAATGGTGGCTTCTTGCCAGTAGCCAATAAGGAACTGAGGCCCTGAGCCCAAACCTGAGATGAGGAACTAAATCCTGTCACTACCAGATGAATGAGCTTAGGAATGGATCCTCCCCACAGACAAACTTTGAAAGGACTACTGTAGCTCCAGCTGACACCTTTTTATTTTTTTTATTTTTATAAGACTCTATTTGAGCCAAACTGACAACATAGGCCAGAGAGCAAGATCTCAAATGCTCCCCGAGTTGAGATCTTGATTGCAGTCTTGCAAGACACCTTGAGCTAAAGGACTTAGCTAAGCCATATGTGGGTTCTTGAGTCCCCCAAACTTATTTATAGCTGCTAAGCTTTAAGATGATTTGTTATACAGCAATGGTGTGTGAGAGAGTGATGCCTTAAGAAGAAAAGATTTTTTTTTTAAGATCAGATAAATTCAAGCATTTTATATACTGAAGAGCCAGTAGAGAGAGTTTGAAACTAAAGCAAGGAGGCAGGATACTTGGTAAATCAAAAGGAGATGAGAGGAGGGCCAGTCAAGTGGCTCAGTTGGTTAAGAGCTCACTCAGGAGTGCGAGCTCTGAGCACCAGGGTCGCCGGTTCGATTCCCACATGGCTCGAGCTGAGCTGCCAACAGGTGGCAGGATGGCCCAGCTAAAAAAAAAAAAAGAGATGAGAGGATACCAAACAATAGCCTTGCAACAAAAAGTGTGGTCTGTGGACCTGCAGCATCAGCATCTCCTGGAAAGTTGTTAGAAATGCACCATCTCAGGCCCCACCCCAGACCTGCTGAATCAGAATCCCTGGTTACTCATATGCATTAACCCAGAACTCAGATAAACAAAAGAGATCCAGCCCGTAGGAAGATAGTATCCACCTGAAACTAGAGGGACTAAAAAGGAGATGGAGATACAAATATATTTTTAGATGGAGCTGAGAAGGCAAGAACTTGTTCACAAAAAATTGCTTCAGTATTTTCTATGAAATACGAATTCATTCAGGGCACAGAGCCTGAACTAAGTGACAAAGGGCAGGGGGGGAGTGAAATAAGTGGCAAAGAATCACAATAGCTACCAAAGTGAGTGGAACAGGGAACTGAACCAAGAACATACATAAATGTTTTGCCTAGCAGTACTAGGAGCCCAGCTGAGTTTGGAGACTAGGAGTTTGTTAGGTGAGGGTGTAAGTGATTTCTTCAGTATTGCTCAGCAGCCTGTGTACAGAACCAGAAAAGGCAGATAGCAGAATCCATGCAAGGATGAGGTGCAACACCAGGTCAAATCCCAGAAATGGGACAGCAAATTTGAAATAATGCACTAGAGCAGCGGTTTTCAACCTGTGGGTTGCGACCTCTTTGGGGCTTGAACGACCCTTTCACAGGGGTCGCCTAAGACCATTGGAAAACACATATTTTCGATGGTCTTAGGAACCGAGACACCGCTCCTCTATCCGTCTCCAGGTGGGTCTGCCCACATGCAGATTCGCCCACATATGAGTACCCGGCGTGATGACATCATCGCGCCAACCCCATCACATACACTCTATACAAATACAGGTGTATGTGACAGTGTTGGCGCCATAATGTGCTTATGCGGACCAGTCACACATGTGTAGAGAGCAGCTACTGTGTAGAAAGCAGCTGCTGTGTTGAAAGCAGCAGTATTGGAGGTAAAACGACACTTCATGAATTATAATTACTGGGTAAATGTAAAATCATGTACTGTAAAATCATCAACTACTGCAAAAAAATATCTGTATACCATGGGAACTTAATATGGATGCTGATCAGTCTTTTTGTATTCAGCTGTGGTTGATGTGAATACTGCCCCCTTGTGATAGTAACAGGTATGTAAAAAAAACAACAGCACAGAGAATGGTAAATCATAGGAAACTTGAATGAACTGTATTGACTAAACTATGCCATGTATCATCTTTTGTATTATTAAAGCTATTGTTATATATTATTTTCATTAGCAAACCATCCCATGACAATGGATCGTGTAGAGAAGAATGTTAAGAAAATAAAATATAGTGAGGATTTTTTACAGTATGGTTTTACCTCAATAATTACAGCAGGGATTGAGAAACCGCAATGTGTTATTTGTTGTGAAGTTCTATCAGCCAAATCTATGAAGCCGAACAAACTAAAACGCCATTTTGATAGCAAGCATCCGAGCTTTTCCGGCAAGGATACCAACTATTTTAGAAGCAAAGCTGATGGACTCAAGAAAGCCAGACTTGACACTGGTGGCAAGTACCACTAAAAAAAACGTAGCAGCGTTGAAGCTTCATGTTTGATGGCACTCAGAATCACCAGAGCTATGAAACCTCACACCATTGCTGAGGATTTACTGTTGCCAGTGGCCAAAGACATTGTTCGAGTTATGATCGGAGACGAATTTGTTATGAAATTGAGTGCAATTTCCTTATCTAATGACACTGTCTGCAGAAGAATAGATGACATTTCTGCTGAAATTCTTGATCAGGTAATCCAGGAAATTAAATCTGCTCCACTTCCAATATTTAGTATCCAGCTTGATGAATCTACAGACGTTGCAAACTGTTCACAGTTACTGGTTTACGTGAGGTATATTAATGATGGCGACTTTAAAGATGAGGTTTTTTTTTGCAAACCTCTTGAAACGACAACTACTGCACGTGATGTATTTGACACAGTTGGTTCATTTCTGAAAGAGCATAAGATCTCTTGGGAAAAGGTTTGTGGTGTTTGCACAGATGATGCTCCAGCTATGCTAGGATGTCAATCTGGATTTCAATGTTTGGTACTGAATGAGTCACCAAAAGTCATCGGAACTCACTGTATGATTCATCGGCAAATATTAGCAACGAAGACGCTGCCACAAGAGTTACAAGAAGTAATGAGGGCCAGCCGAGTGGCGCGTTGGTTAAAAGCTGGCTTGGGACGCCAGAGGGCCCCGGTTCGGATCCCACACATGAGGGCCAGTGACACTGCCCTCTGCCGCTAAGATGGTGAACAACAGCTCAACCTGGAGCTGGGTTACTGTGAGTTGCCGGCAACGGCATAGGCTGCAGCCCCTGCTGCAGTGGGTTGTCATGGGCTACCGGGTGTAGCCAGCAGCCAGCGTGAGCAGCCATCCAGAAGCCAGCGACTGATCTGCCTCGCCCAGGAAGAGCGCAATGATGATGCCAACTTGGGCCAGTGAAGCAA